GAGAACGAAGCAAGATAGCGACAAGCGGTAAACGGCATCGGATACGCACGGACAAGGTCTACAATTTTTACTAAGGTCATTTTCAGGTCAGGTCAAAGATGACGTCACAGGGGTCGAAAAAGTCAAAATGGCGGCGCTAGATATGGAGAGGGTTTTTCTCGAATAACTTTCGAAGTAGTCAAGATAGGAACAAACTAAGGGCATCATCGTGATCCTCTCGTCGATCCGCATCGAACGATATATATGTTGACCTCGCAAGGTCAAGGTCAAAGGTTGACCTCAGGTCACGTGACCTCGAGGTCATCATGTATATCATTCGATGCGTCTTGACGAGCGGAACACAATGAGACCATCCGCGCGGCTGTATCTTGTTCCTGTAAGGAGTTATTGGCAAAAAAACTTTGGTGACCTTTGATGACGTCACATGACCTTACAGCTGCCCAACAGCAAAACAGACCTCAAGGTAGTGAAGGTTGATCGTATGTGAAGTCATGTATGGTATATGGGGCCACTCCGACCCGTTTTAGTGGTAAAAACAGGGAGTTGATTTTTCTCCCATTGACTTATAATGGGGAGGTCGCGAAATTGACCTGACCTTAGGTCACCGACATCAAAATTCCGAGATATACAAATTGTAGCTACTAATGACCTAATAACATCCTGCGACTTTCAAAGGCCTCCGACATCTACTGTAGCTCTGGCACGGTGACAAAGTTGCAAAAAAAGTGACTTGAGGTTGGGTCATTCAAAGTGACCTGGTGACCTGACCTTAAAAGTTAGGAGGTTCAAACTTGCACACCATGTGTAAAATTGATGAGAGAATAGTCATACCAAATTTCGCGGCGCTACGCGCCGCGGTTTTCCCGCTATCCGCGAAAAACCTCAGGGGGGGGCGGATATCCGCCCCCCCGTCGGTGCGCGGGTTAATAACCTTTAGCTTTAACTTTACCAACACCAATACAAACCAATACATACTATATATGCCTATAGGCAATAGGTGTGGCATCATATTGGACCTTTCTCCCCCCCCCCGCTCAGCAACCGGACTGCCAGGGATCGGGCCGGCAATGAGTTACCCCACGCCCACCCTTAACCAGGGATGCGGAGTCGTGGACATTTCAGACGGTTCCGACTCCGGCTCCGGCTCCGGGTGAAATGCCATGGCGGCTCCGGCTCCGGCTCCGGCTCCGAGTAAAATGGTCCTGCGGCTCCGGCTCCAATACTCAGTACATTTTAAATACCTACGGGTGGCAGAAAAAAGAAGATGGGATTGGTGCACGCTGCTTCTGCATTTGCATAACTTAAGGCTATTTTCATATTTTGAATACCGTATTTCTTACTGCCTGGAACTGTAAGTTCAAGGCAGTTCGGTTTGACAAACCGAACTAGGTCAATATTTGTTTCCTCTTCAAAAAAGGAGCCGGAGTCGCCCCCTTTTTTGACAGCTCCGGCTCTGGCTCCGGCTCCGAACTATTGTTTCACAGCTTCGGCTCCGGCTCCGGGCAAAATATGCCGGCTCCGGCGGCTCCGGCTCCGGCTCCGCACCCCGGCCTTGCCTCAAACCGAAAGTCTGGATCCACCCTGGTGCCCTAGCTAATCGCTTACTAGAATCAGCGCACACAGATGTCGTGGTTTACATGTATATGCATAGATGTCGCAGCGATAGCGACACATGCAGTGCAAATGGTAGCAGACAGCAGTAGTTTCCCCTACCAAAGTGGTGGTTTTCTACCACAGACGCTCGTCAAGGTCGGAAATTCCAAATACGCCAGGTAACCCGCGCCCTGATGGGGTCTGCCGAGCAACGCGGTCTGATGGGGGGGGGGGGCCATTTTGGCCCCCCCCATAAGATCTCGAGAACCACGCAACATAGCGACAAGCGGTAAACGGCGTTGGATAGCCCCAACGGGGAACTACCATGTGACCCAATTTCATTGACCTCGGTCAAACCGATGACGTCACAGGTCAGGTCAAAGGTCGAATTTTCACCGTTTACAGGCATTTCAAGAAATGCGTTGTACAATCTAGTAAAATGCATTTCATTGAAAATCATCGATGGGAAAATGTTCTTCAAACACATATTTTGCTATTTGAGGTCACTGATACCAGGTCAGGTCACAGAGGTCAGGTCACTGGGGGGTCACAATATGAAAGTGTCGTGTGATACACGTTTTATGGTCCATTTTACATGACATATGCGATTATGTGGGTCAGGCAGACTTTAGGGCCAGCTTAGGTCACGTTTTGGTCAAGGTCAGGTCAAGGTCAGGTCAATGTCAGGTCAAATGAGGTCAAATTTCAAAGTTGATATTTTTGCATAAAATGGGTATCGATTCGATGCAGCTTGTCACGGGGAGTTCAATGGTGGTCTCCGTTTTGCGCCAAGAGGTCTAGAATTGCTAAAAATTGAGTTCAAAAATTTGACGTCATCAATTTTTAAGTTTTTTTCGCTATAACTTGGCCAAAAAAGAGGTATCGATCTAAAATTTGGTATGTATATCGAAGAGCGCAGGGACTATCACATATATTCCGGTTTTTTCGAAATTCGAAAAAATTTGGATTTTTTTTTAGTTTTTCTAAAAAAATCAATTTTTTTGATTTTTTGGGTCAAAATCTCAAAATTTCGAAAATCCGAGATAACAGTTTTGTAGCGCCGTTTTTGTCTACACAACCACATAAAAAATTTAAAATTGCTTGTTAACTATAGAATTGGTGAGCGTTTCAAGATGTCATGTTTTTTGCTCATTTTTACTCGAACATGACCTCAGTTTTACCTCAATAACTCCTGACCTGAGGTGACCTGTGACTTGAAATTTTGTGTGAAGGTGTCAAATTGATGCCCGGTAAGGTACCCAAAATTTGGCGGCGCTGCGCACCGTCGTTTTCTCGCTATTTAAGAAAAACCACAGGGGGGCCAAAATGGCCACCCCCCCATCAGGGCGCGGGTTAAAAGTTGCGCAAGCGGAGTTGACCTTCAAAAAAAGACTGTTGTTGGCACGTGTTTATGGCGCGGCAGCTGGTAGTTGGCGGTGTTTCGCGTGGTGTGGCATCACTGGCGGATCCGGGGGGGGGGGGGGCACGGGAGCCTGAGGTGCCTCTGACAGGCCCATGGTGCCCTTGCTAGGCCTGTGGTGCCCCTGGGACCTGACAGGACTGTAGTGCCCCTGACAAGCCTGAAGTGCCCCCAACAGGCTCGTGATGCCCCCGACAGGCCCAAGGTGCCCCTGCGTGATGCCGTGATGCCTGGGAGGCCGGTGGTGCCCCTGCTAGACCGGTGGTGCCCCTGGTAGGCCTGTAGCGCCCCTGGGCCCTGACAGGACTGTGGTGCCCTTGACAGGCCCAAGGTGCCCCTGCAAGGCCGGTGGTGCCCCTGTAAGGCCTGTGGTACCCCCGCTAGGCCTCTGGTGCCCCTGACTGGCCCATGGTGCCCCTGCGAGGCCGGCGGCGCCCCTGGCAGGTCTCTGGTGTCCCTGACAGACCTGGGGTGCCCCTGACAAGCCTGTGGGGCCCCTCACAATCCCGTGGTGCCCTTGCTAGACCTGTGGTGCCCCTGGCGGGCTGGTGGTGCCCCTGCTAGGCCGGTGGTGCCCCTGACAGGCCTGTGGTTCCCCCGGGCGTACCAAGGGGGGTCATGACCCATTTGGCCCCCTTGGATCTGCCACTGATACATAATATATATTGATTTGTAAAGGCGTTATGGCTTATGCAATATGCAATTCCAGGCACTTGGTATCCCTCACTTATCCCTTATTGGGGGCTCTGGCGGGCTCCTGGGGGCCCACGTCTATCTCCGGGAGCCCTTTGGGTCCTTTCAGTCCACTATAGCATAAGAGGTCTCCATGCGAGTGACCGAGTCCTATACATCTGAGGGCGTACCCTGACGTCTGAGGTACCCAACTGCAGCTCCAATGGTCTCTTACACTGGCGGATCCAGGGAGGGGGCATTTAGGGCCATGCCCCCTTCCCAGAGGCCTAAAGTGGCCCGTTTACCCCCTCCCCCAAACGATAATGAAACCTAGTTCAATCAGTGCGTGGCCCAGGAGCCGAGTAAGACAGGGGGTGTTTTACCACCTCCCAGCCCGCAAAGGGACCCAAGCACTGACTCGAAGCGGGTTAACTGGTCGACAAAAGCAATGGTAAGTGTTAACAAAATAATATAAAGGCATGGGTCGGGTGGGCTACCATTTATATATTTTTCCTTTTAGTAAAAAAAAAATCATAGTGTCAGGGCTGTGACGAAAAATAAGTGGCCTAAATCCGATGAGAAAACAGGATTTGGGGGTACCCTAGGTTTGGCTCCTGCATGAGTTGGTCCCCCCCCAAAACACAAGCCTGGATCCGCCAGTGATTTTATTGATGCTGTTACTCTTGTCTATCGCTGAAAGGTTCAAGGCAATCGTTCAGTCGGCGTAGCTATGACGAGCCTTCTAATTTTTTTTCTGAGGTGAGGTCACTTGGCGTGACCTGGTGACCTGACCTTGAGCGACCTGGGTCTGAAATTTTCACAATACGTGCGGAAAAGATGCACAAACAGGTGTACCAAATACGGCGGCGTTTTTGAGATATCTGCGAAAAACCGCGGGAGGGGGGGTGTTCAAATACCCCCCCCCCCGGCCTGGCGCGGGTTAAAGTCCAACGTCATAGTAAAAATTGACCTCAAATTTCCGGGTTCTTAATTTTGCATTTGAGGCTTTGAGGACACCTATAGACATGAAACCTTAAAAATTGGGGATCGTTGATACGTCTTGTGGAAAGTGACCTGCTCGTTTTTCGCTTTTCATATATCTTACATAAAGTAAATATCAATTTAAAATGAACAAGCGCTAAAGAGAGCAATAAACTTCTGTAGGTGGAAGTGGAGTCAGAATCCGTTATCTATATATAGCGGAGCCCCCGAAAAAAGCAGCACCGCGAGCGTTGGGGCTAAAAATCCTGGCAGGGCGTGATCCAACAACCTGTCACCCGCGAATGCCCAGCACATACCGTTTTCAAACAGCACATTTATGCCACTAAAATATGAAGTATATTTCTCGAACACCACACCAAATTCCAATAATTATGGTGTGCCGGCAATCTGGTGTCGATACTGCCACAACTCATCGTACGTCACAAGTGTTACGGGTTCGAACACACCGCATTGAGCACATTCTCATCCCGTGTAGTCATCCACTGATAACATACTTGCGGACCTGCACATAAATACATCCTTTTCAACTAAACCAGCTATTGGACGCATACATCACATCTAAATAGCAGCCAATGAATATGAACACAGTTAATCCGGCTGATAGATTTTCCCCTAGCTCAGACTGCCTCACTTGCACATGCGTGCTGGCAGAATGACAAATTTATGATTAAATTGGATCTCTTCTTGATCGAATAGAAGATGATAACGAGTTTTAATAAATTGCATCATAGACCACTTATCAGTAATACAGTAGTTTATAAAGTATGTTTCACATAGGAAGAATAGTCCGGCTCTGAATACCTATGATAAGGAAGCTTTTGGTTGTCCCACCAGTCACCAGTTTTTAATAAATCATACATTTAGCTCAAATATTTGAAGGAGCGGCTTAGCAGAGGCCGAACTCACGCTGAGCAGAGCTTGTTTCACAGGCCCAGACCCATACAGTTCGATCGGACAATGATAAGAGATCGGGAGGATTTTGATGTTTAGCGTGCCCATCAGAGCCGGACACGGTCCATACCTCCCCTGATTTGAACTGGCTGCAGCTGCTCCGACCAATCTCAGGCCTTCTCCGTCTGGAGTTCGTATACGAGGGGGTATCGAAAAGTTCTGATCATCACCATGAATAAGATGAGATAGAAATTTGATTTTTTTACATGATGTTCATTGCTCCTTTACAAGTCACCAAACACGACCGCAAACTTATTGCATCGTTTCTTGAGCTGCCTCAGGTGGTCATTGTAGGACCCTCGCACTGACCCGTAAATCACTGCTCCACCTGATCAATGACGTCATTTCTGTTCTTAAGTCACCGGCCATACTGTGGATTCTTCATCTCCCGTAACAATCAAGAGTCAGTTAATACCCGGGCAGGTGAATTTCTTAGATGCGGTAGGATTTAATGTCCACTTCATGTTGTTTCTTCAATCGCAGCTCAGGACGACTGGGCGGGGGCGCTGTCAGTGCGGATAAAACATCATTCTTGAGATTTTTGCGGCGATTCTGCTTGAGGCCATCTCACAACGTCTTCAAAAGTGTGCAGTAGTACTTGCTTATCATTATCCGACCATCATCAAGACAGTCGGCAATGACTATCCTACGCCAGATCCAGATCACTGACAGCATTGACCTTCCATATCGGCTTCTGCATCTTCGCCTTTTAAGGACAGATGTGCCGTGCTTAAACTTCTTGATCATCTTTTTATCTCCGGATCATACACATAGATCCAGCATTCGTCACAAGTCATCAAATGATCGAAGGTGTCTTCAATTTCCTAAAAAAGGCCTAGTTTTCAGTTCGAAAGGCCGAGACGCGTTTTTCTCTTGAACAAAGTAGACACACGAACTTCTAAGCGGGCTGACTCCTTTATCGTCTGTAGTTCTTCGCTGATAATATTTTCAGGCGCTTCCAGCATTGAGACCTTTCTGTTGCACAATCATCTGAAAGGTCACACGACGATCTGTAAGGATGAGGTCCTCCACTTCCTTCACAGTCACCACCTTGTCAGTCACTGGTAGTCACTCACTTCTTGACTCCCCTGCAAGGGCCATGCAACCAAGTTGAAAATTATTTCTCCATTTTCGGTAAGTGCATGAGATGGGCTTTCCTCGCCATAAACTAACTGCACGTTCTTGATGTATTTTCTCAGTGTGATACCGTTTCAAATGCATTAGTTGGTTGACGGTTCGGTCCTCAATGGGCCCAATACTCATCTTTTTTACTTCTAAGTCTCTCCTACATAAGATAAAACCACTTCTCAGGATTTTCTTTGCGGGAACATTGTTCTTAAGAACCAAATATACTACCAACCAAAAATCATCAAAATCGGTCTATATCTTCTATGTGATGATCAGAACTTTTCGATACCCCCTCGTATGTCTATCGAGCGCCAGAGCGACTCGAACCCGGGCTCTTTACACTAAGAGTACAACAAGCTAGCAATTGAGCTACTGGACGGACATGGGTTTGGGTGTTTGCTTGGTTATCACAATCATTTTATATATAAATCGCTTAAGGTTGTGGATTTTAAGATTCATTGTTATCATCAAGAACAATTGAAATTTTTGCCCTAGAAGCCATACCGCAACATGTCTGAATTTTTTCAATGCTTTTCTATATTTTTTTTTTAAATCTTATTGCAGCGTTTTTAGGAAATTGATAAATACGTGATGATCATACATGCCTGAGACATACACTACGAGTACTTATGGGGTCGCCTGGTGAGTTATGGAAGTAAAGGCATTCTTACAGCTCCCACAAGTGGATAACGGGACAGGACAGACAGTCCAAAAAGTGTCGGGAGACCAGCATTACGATTGGGTCCCACGGTTTGTGCAGCGGAGTATGCGTAGTTGAAAAGTAAGTAGTAAGTAACAAAAGAATGGAGGAATTCGTCTCCATTGTCTAATCTCCATTTCCACGGCTCATACAATTTATATTTTGCGCAACTAGTTAGGTAAATACCGAATACACATTCAAAGCTATAGCGCGCAGTGAACGACGTCGTAAGGGAATAATAATTCGTCCGCTTGCCGTTGTTTGAGCACATAACAATATCCGTCGTGTATCGTCATTCCTTGAAAGTAATGGAATGTCAAATATATTTTCAATTTGACTTCCAGACACATACACCATACGAATGACATAGGTACCCTGTGCTGTCAAAGATATGGGACACACCACACCTCACACCGGCATTTCAAGGTAAACGGGGAAAACCCGCTCACAATTCAGTCAGTCTCTCACCGTTACGATCACATGTGAGTATAGACATTTTTATATAGAGAGTATAGTCATTACTCATTAGTCATGCCTACAGATTGCACAAAAATAATTAATCCATACCTATCTCATGGACCGCGGATTTCTAATAAAACAAGTACCACGCACACTGCATTCACCATCAGCAATCGGTAATGTTTTCTTAAGATTTTATCACCATTTTCGAAGCATTTCAGAAATGGTGATAAACATTGTTCGATGTCACGTTGAAAATATCTTTTTTATGTTTGAGTCCCATTAATGCTACCCTGTTACACTGGCTGGTCGTGCTGTCTGACAATCAGGCAATGCTGCCTTACCTCAGACAAAACTTCACTGTTTTAGCTAATAAAAAGCTATGATTGTCTGCTCAATAAGTATCCGAAAATACTATATGAACGACAATACCATTTATACGCATGAATATAAATGATACTTCCTGCCAGCTAGCAGATTATGTATAATATGAATGTTTGCTTGAACAATAGGCATTTTCAGACCAAACCGTACTAAATAATTTTCTTTTCTTGTCGTTCAGTATATGCTGCGGGGCGCGAGCTGGTGTTAACAAATGACATGATTCCTGAAACGAACAAAACGAAACTATCGGCAGTAAATGATGAGTAAATGTACTGTCTTATAGATTTCCCCGATAGCACTGTCTTGGTGAGCGGCTGGTCGCTCTGTGCCACTGCAGTGCTGATGTCCAATTACACTGTCTGATAATTCAGACGTCATGACTGAGCTCTGTCCGCTGCATTGTTGACGGTATGTACCGCGCTGCGCTGAGCAGCGGTGGCAGCAGCGGTGGCAGCGGCAGCAGTGCAGCAGCGGCAGCGGCAGCAGCGACAGCGGCAGCGGCGGCAGCGGCGGTGGCAGCAGCAGCGGCAGCGGCAGCGGCGGCGGCGGCGGCGGTAGCGGCAGCGGAGCGCGCATTACGCTGTGGCCAGTCTGCCGAGTAGCAGCAGCAGACCGCTGGCCGGCAGGACGGTCATCCAGCCGGCGAGGAGCGCCCGCACCGAGCCGGCGCCGCTCCTGCACACCTCTGAGCCGTGAATGAAGCCCGAACAGTGGGTCTGACGGAACGAGACACACAGGTCAGGTCAGCGAGACACCGATAAGGTCATAGACACAGGTCAGGTCACAGAAACCAGCCACATCGCTGCGACATTGGCACGCCATTAACCATAAAGAGCACATAATACCGATGGCAAAATTATGTGCATAAATAGGTGTAGATGTAGATGAATTGCGCGTGCGGTCTTAGCCTTATAGATGCACGGTGCATGACGCTTTGGTGAGCTGGTGTTTCGGTTTACTGGATAGACGACATTCTACAATGTCAAGAAAAGTCACGAATCATCGACATTGCTGCTTTCATATGACCCAAGTGATTGAGTGAACGGTGACGCTGTGATGGGTAGGTACTGAAGCTAGTCAAATGTATGGAGGGTGCGTGGGACCACAACTAGTTACACTACAGAAGTGTGATACTAGCCCCGTTTACATGAGTCAGCGAAAATGACGTTTAGAACGGATATTTCCGTTTAGCGAAAAGTGCGCAAGTTTCGACTCATGTAAACTGGTTTGGGCGCGCAAAAATGACGATTACGCGGAACGGAAATATCCGATGAATTAATGGGAAATATCCGTTTAGGACGTCAGGCCTAAACAGATTTTTTGCGCATCTAGCAGAAAATGACATGAATATGCATGTTTTATAGATGAATTTTTTTAGTTTACACATCAAAATACATATTTATCTTGAATGGTAGGTCTAATGACAATGAAATCCACTTTTTGCCCCTGATTTCGCGCCATTGTGGCAGATTCATAAAGTACCTACATAAGTGTTGAGAGGAACGTCCTATGGTTCAAAAGGGAAACATTCTAGTTTAGGGGTAATTTCCTTATTTCTTAGATTCAACAATCAGGGTTCAATTCCAGGGCAACCAACATAGCCTTCCCAGCCAGTCGCTCCCTATAGCCACTTGGAACAGCATGCTAGTGCCATTTAGTGCTTGGTACACTGGATATGATGCTTGATTTCTTTTGCTTTAGTACATGCTCCAAAAAATTTTCTCTACATAGGTACCTACTTCAAACTTCCTAGCAGTGATTCAGATAACTTATGCTTCAGCGAACAGCCACCAGACGGCAGGGCACGCAGGCTGGTTGGGACAGTAACTTGGCTGCATGCCAAAATATACACAAGACACACAGCCAAATTTACTCAGTGACACTGCCATCTGCCCCCCCCCCACCAATATTTAAATGTTTACCTTATTGTTCCAAATAAGTAGATTCTTCAGTGGTGGGAAGGTCTCTGAAAGTTTGGTTAATCTCGGATGGTGGAAGCAGGCAACTGGCAAGTTTTGTGGAATTTGTAGAATCATACCTAACCTTACCTACCAACCTAACTTTCAACCTACCATCCTACAAAAACACCTACATGCCTACAACCTATTATACCAAACTACTTCCTACCAATCTACAAGGTCAACTAGCCTACCAAACCATATAGGTACCACTCGGCCTTCATCTTCACATCTTGATCTTACCTGGTGTGATTGAGAGTGGATTATTCTATGCATTTTGAGAATTGCACTGATAGTGTCTTAAAGTTTGGTGGTGAGTAGATGTAATTTCTGTTATGACTAAAACACATGGAAATGATGGATACTGTGTTGCACCCGACAGTCAAGCAATGCACCCACATGTCACATCTACTACACAATTCACCTAGTACTGATCTGGCCCCTGTCTTTGAAGAACTGAGCAGCTAAAAGCAAAATATGAAAATAAAATGCTGGAATATTCAAGTGCTTCAAATGTGTCACTGTCAACCAAAAATGTATACACAATCCCGCACCACTCACTTTCATACCAATGTTTTCTGAAGTGTGGCACCATCCTGCACATCCTTTTATGCATTTTCACTTTGTCAACTTACTGGAGGTCCATCATGATGAGCTATGACTATTATGAGCTATCTTAGCCTTTTTCTGAAACCAAAAAGACTTTCAATATAGATGTGCTCTTCAATGTTGTCCAAGACCTCAATTGTTTTCTTGCTTTCTGACAGTTAATCACACTTCTTTTACAGCACACAAGTAAAATAATGGCTTGTGCCATGATTATTTTCAATTCTACACACAAAACTTTAAAGAATCAAGTAAATTAAGCCTAAAACAAGCACAAATAATGTTTGATAGGAGCTGCGCCAGGCATGTAAAAATGCGCAAAATATCCGTATTTTTCGGGCTGCCGACGTAAAGGGAATTATCCGTTCCGGAACGGATTTTTCCGATAAGGCTCATGTAAACGGGGCCACCGAAACGCATTTTTCCGTTCCCTGGCTAATCGGATATTTCCGTTTAGGCTGAATGACTCATGTAAACGGGGTAACTGAGCTTTTATCAAACTTACCGCCACCAGTGGTCCCGCCAGCCGCTCTAAAAAGTTTTTGGTGAAGTTTGAAGTGCCGATGCCGCACTTGTGTACTACGGCCTGCTGTGAGCAGTGCAGGTAGCTCTTGAAAGAACTGAAACAAACGGAACATAAAAACTTTTAAGGCCTACGGTCTACTCAAACTATTTCAGGGCCGTGAGATGGGAGAACAAGAGGAAGCATTGGGATTGATCGACAAACAGCTGGTGCGAGGCAGCGACTCAGACCTGTCCCGGTCCGGTGAGACTGCATACTGTACAGTGTCCCCGGTGGGACAGGCTACTCAGCCAAGAACAGAACCGTACCTTTCAAAGCTACCGACATGGTTTGTTAGCATAGCTATTCCTGCTGCTGCTCAGAACAGTTAAAAATAAGTCAAAAACGTTTTTTTAAAGAAATAGCTTTTTTCCAAACAACATTCAGTAGATTTTTGTGGGAGGAGGCGATCTGTGTATTTCAGTGTCATTTCCTTCGAGACTCAGGAAGGAAACAAATGCTTTACATGCCAAAGCACACCCTAGGTACTTACATGCAGGAAACTGTTGAGCCGTGCGCTATCGGTTTACATACAGCTATCTTATCTTCATCATTGCATCCATCCATCTACGTGAGCCCTGTTAGTGGCATACTCCCGGAACCGAAGTTATCGTATAAACAGCAAAGTTTTCTTTTACATGCAGGCAGACAATTTTTAGATGAGTGCGGACTGCAGATTGCTCAGTTGTAGTTAGGTAACGCCTGTTTATACGAGCGCCTGTTTCGCTGCAGACTGGATCACAAGCACCTCAGGCAGTAAATGCCCGGTTCGTTTACTGCACTGCCGTCTGCACTGCTGAACTCTCACAAACATCTGGCCTGGAGCTGAGAGATTTCCCGACGCATAACCTCGTCACAGAAATCCAATGAACTTTGTTGGCGACCACGACAACATTTCGGTCAGGACCCTTGACTACATATGCCGACAGCAGGGCATTTATAACAAGGCGGAGATGCCGTGATTTGAGGCCGCCTTTCAACTACAAAGGACGTCTCATCACAGAAACTTAACGTGTTATGAAGCTGAAGGCCGAACAAACATCGCGGGCGGAGGACAAAGCATCTTGCGTCTCTCATGACTACATTCCTTACCAACCCACGAAACTAGCGTTCTATTTACTCTGAAACTAACACCCGTTTTCGAACATGAAAGTGCCAAACTAAAAATGCAATATCATTGCGAGTTTGCCCTTGCAACTGAAACTGATTGCCTTATGTATATGAGGGTGCATAGATAACATTTTTAAAAATAAATTTAGTCCGAACTTTATGATAGGAAGGATTCACAAGGACAGAGCCACCGCTAAGCGAAGCCTGTTGCGGTGACCCTGCCCTCTACCCTCCGATCGCGCAATTCCGGTTTTATGGCAGAATTTAGAGTCCAAAGAAACATGAATCATGTTATCTATGGAGGGTGATATTCTTCAGGTTAATGATCTGGTAAAGCAAATGTTAACAAGTTACCTAAGTAATAAGCATGTCATCGCCTGCACCCGCTTCGCGGAAAAAACGAGCGTGTTGCCCGTGACGAGAGGAAGCCGATGATACCCAATTTTAAGGTCCTAGGTCATTGGGTGACCTTCCAGGTCAGGTCAATGACCCAAAGTCGGGAAAATCGGGACCTGTTAGAAAGTCGTAAAGTGTGGCTTCTAGGGGGTTTTTCGGGGTGCTGATCACGAATATCGTGTTAGTTTTGACCACAGATGATGTCTTTAAGCATTTAGACTAGGTCGGGTCAGGTCAGGTCAGGTCAACCAGTAGGGGAAAGTGGGGTAAGACGGTCAAGGTAGGTAAGACGGGCACCCCCTCTGCAGACCAAACCAATAGCGCTACGAGCGAGAAAAATTAGGACCAGAATAGCCTTTCCCACTACACACCGCCATTGAAGTCTGGTGAATTTGTGTTCGGTCAATAATCTTTTATTTTGATTTCTTTAAAACACTCATTTCATTGAAAACATTCATAATGTATTGTGCAAGCTTTTGTGTGCAGCACTATAGAGTTAAAAACTGGCAATCACTTGTGGCACACTCATATGCCTCCAGTGTTCATTCACCGCGGATTTGCTTTGTCTGCATCAAATTGTCCACAGAGAAAAATCGTGCTGAACTTCTGACATTGAGTTTGGGGTAAGACGGGCAACTATGAATCCGATGGGTCTGTAATGGTAAAAATATTTTTGTTGCTGTAGGAAAAAAGAAGCATTTCTGATAAGAATATGTTCGATTCCGATACTCACAGACATGTTAGCAATATTCCTTCGGCACAGTTTATTCTCGAATAATGAATGTGAAAAACGGCTCTACATGGCTTCTGAACTAGGGCCTATATACGAGTATACGCCTTCTGCACGAATCTCGTATACTGCCATTTCCGAAGCACTTGAGACCAACGAGCGACTGTATCAATGCGGCTAATCTCGGGCATTTGCTGCGAGCTGTGCTGGTCGGTGAAAGAAGCTGGCCGTCTTGCCCTACCCATGTGACCGTCTTACCCCATGGAGTGGGGTAAGATGGGTTTTTGCAAGGTTTTGCAAAAATAGCTGCAGTTTATTTGTTGAGTCAGGTCTAAGTCTCATCTTCTGGCAAATGGAAGTAAAATGTCTGTAAAAGGTTTTCACTCAGTTTCCCGTTTCTATGATGTTTCTAACCGGCCGAAAAATGGCTCCAAAGTTAAGGTGCCCGTCTTACCCCACTTTCCCCTAGGAATCGTGACGGGTATTCGTAGTACGTGTCAACCGCCTCTGACAGCTTCGTAACATGTTACGAAGGCACCAAAACTACTATTGACAACTCAAGCTCAGCGATTACTCAAGCCGTTACCAACACATGCGATTTGGCGCATCGCAATATGTTGAACCAGGTTGAAAGGAGCCCCCAGTAAAGGTCAGAATGTGTACAAAATCAATGTGATGCCGCGGTGCTTGCTTATTCCACTTTGAATATATCTATGTATAGCTTAGGTACTCCAGACAAGGCAATTTCACCTCCCCACTTATTAAAAACAAAATATGCGGCCTATTTCCATAGCAGCTTCGTCGGTCAGACAATCATCCGTCACGTTATTTGATGCCAATAGCATCGGCAAATATTGCAGTGTTTCCCCGTCGCTACGTCCGAGTTCCCTCGCGGCGATAAGCGGCCATGCGTGCACAAATCAATCAGCGGCGTATACGTGCACAAATCAATCAGCGGCGTACGTGCACTCCCCCGGAGATCCGGCAATGACGACGGACAGCGGTCCGGGGTTTGCTGCCACTTTCCCCGGCAGCTCCCGCCGGTTACACAGTTCCTAGAGCCTGTAACGTAGCTAATCTCTTATCCGACTCCCACCGTCACCCTCCCCACCCACCTCCCCGCTCCCCGATGAATAGAAGCGTCATACGTTCAATCGGATCCCCCGTGCAGTCACCTCCCACTGGGAGCCGTTTCGCTCCCACTAGCCCTCGTTACCCTCCCACTGAGAGTCGTTTCCCTCTCACTAGCCCTCGTTACCCTCCCACTGGGAGCCATTTCCCTCTCACTAGCACTCGTTACCCTCCCACTCCCTCGCCACCACCCCCACCCCGGCCCAACCAGGAGTGTCACGAGCATTGATCGCGGTATGCGATGCATCAATGGCCTCTCGGGCTCGGCAGCCGTTCTAACCGATGGTCCTTGGCGGCACCGGCACAGCAGACCTGTGTCGCAGGAGAGCCAGCCACAGGCCACACTCCAGTACAGCCCACCTTCCAATTTCCATCAGACTTGGTTTCTTTGAAGGCCTGCGCAATTGAAGTGAAACGCTATTATAGCGTCACACTTCTGCAGGGTGTTTGAATTCATTCACGCTGAACGTTCTAGTGCATGAAGGGACGAAATGAAGTTTTTTTTACAAAGAAGCCTAGATAAATTATTTATGTTCACCAAAAAGCGTATTAGGCAAGTAGGTATTGGAAAAAGCGAAACACATTCCCCACCACGTATGTACAACTAAACATTAAATGAAATAAAAACATGCAGCGCAAACAACCCACCAGCAGAGTTTGCGGATCTGGTGTGCCGACGAGTGTTCGCCGCTGTCGTCGGTGGCGCCCGGGCCAATCCTGTCCATCTGCGAGAGATACTCGTCGGCACACACCTCGTAGCCGCGCTGCACGGTGCGCATGCACGGCGCGTGCAGCAGGTACTCTGCGGGACGGGGACAAAACGGCCGCCCGTCAGCACATACCGACCGGGGTGGCCGAGTGCGCGTCAACGACCGCTCACAGCCCACCCTAAACCACGGCGGCGGCGCTGCCTGGCTCACCTGACTGGTAGCCGCCCTCGGCGCACAGGTCCGAGATGACGAGCCGGGTGCCCGTGTACAGCGTCAGAAAATACGACCGCTGGTGGGGCTCCAGACAGTCGGCAGTGAAATTGTCGAAACACTCCATTCCCTCCATCAGAGTCCTGAAACACAGCAGCCACTTTTTACTACACACAATTGGATCTTTAATTGTATAAGGGTGCGTCAATTACTGAACCTATCTTTAACTTTGGCTATGGCATGGGTAGTGGGTATCGGATGTGATCTGCCAGCACCTATGGTGACACAAAAATAAAATGAAAGGGCTTTGAGAAACTTAATTAAAGGGACCCTCCCACCTTCAAAAAAGTTTATGAATTGGCATGAAAGTGATGTCGCTCGGTTCAGAAAGAGCAAAAACGAATATCTACCAAATTTCACCGAAAAATATTCACCGGTTTTCAAGATATTAGACTTTTACTTTTGTTTACTCTTTGGGATCTCCGCTGTTCCTAGCGACTTTATTGTTTGTTTGTTTGTTTTGTTAGGTTAGGCCCTTTCGGTCCAATGAGACCATTTCAGAGCCGGAAGGATGATAGGAATTAGGGGGAGACATTGGTCTGGGCAGGCACCCTAGTGAGTCGCCGGGGCTGAGCCCGTCCAGAGGACAGGCCACCCAGCCCCAAGGCACTCACTGCACCCGGCTACGGGGTGCGCTCCCTCGGGAGCAGCGGCGCCGCTCCAAGGGAGCAGCCCGCATGAGATAAAGTTGCCTGTCCAGCCCGGAGGGGGGTTGCGGCGTGGAGGAGAAGGATTTCAGTATCCTGAGGATAGAAGCACGGACAGGTGTCTAGCGACTTTATTTGGAAGCAATAGTTTGGCAGCTGAAAGTGCGGCACTTGTTGCGCGCAAAGCAGCATATACCACCGCGTGCTACAAAACGTTTTAGTCAAACATTTAAAAATCGTTAGATATCTGCGCTGACGTCACACATTCAGAGGGGTATTCCTATGCATTAGCCCCTCTGAATCAAAATGCTGCAATTTTGAAATTCAATATTTCCGATTTAAGGCATTTCTCGTTGTTGTGAGTGCCGAAACCGGTAATTGTGAGCCAGGGACCCCATTTTGGCTATCTCAACTCAAATCTAATGTTAAGGTGGGATGGTCCCTTTAACCCTCGCCCGCACATGGGGGGGGGTGGTTGCCACCCCCCCCCGTTTTCGTATAGCTGCTTGTCTATCCTTTCTTGATGTCCACTGAAAATTTCAAGTTTCTGTGATTTTTGGTTTCGGAGATATGACCTTGTTTTTCAGGTCATGTCATGACCCAAATGGCCAATTCTCAACATCTTGCGTTTGCCATGGGCCTTGTGAGCTTTTGACACCCTGATTTCGGCCTTTTTTACCAGTCTTACCTCCCACCTATCATGGAACATGTTGTTCGACGATGTACAGGGGTCAAGGTCAGGGTCAAGGTCAACCTAGGTCATCTAAGATAATTGCGTTTTAGGCAAGCTGAATTTACTTTTTGTGAAGTTTTTTTGACTGCATTTTTGGTAAAAGCTTCTCAGGTCATGATTTCATGTGATATGGACCCAAAAACAATCGGTGCACACATCAATATACACACAGACACACACAGACATACAAACACATATAATCGACCTTGACCTAACTTGACCTGAAATGACCTCAGCAGCAAAATTCTGGTCGGATAGTGTGACAAAGAGGTTCTAGCTGGCTTGGCACCAGAAAACAGCATCGTCATCGGTATTTGATAAGCAGCGCACTTGATATCCAACGGTGACCCAAAACAGCAACATTTTTTAGTTTGACCTGACCTGGAAGGTCAATGACTGACCTGAGAAGGTAAAACTGGGTATCATTGGATTCGTCTCTTCCCAAAGAATCTTTTTGGTCTTTACTGCTAAGCTCTATCTCCAACAGGAACGAAATGGCGCGGGGGGGGGTGGCACCCCCCCCCCCCCCATGTGCGTTCTAGGATGGGGAAATGGCATGTGCGGGCGAGGGTTAAAAAGAACTTTACTCTTTAGAGAGGGTAAGACCATGAGCCAAACTATAATGAAATTAACGTATTTACATGACAAGTTTTTACTTCAATTTTTCATGCAAAAGTATACATTGCTCGTCCCTCATTATAGCCTTGTTTTGCGGAGCTATCCGCTCACCATCAGTCAATCTCCCTGGCTAGCTGGTGTGGGGAACATTTCAACTACTTCAGCTTCTTCTCGTGTCAGAAAACGTTGGCACGACTGCTGACAAGTAAGTCTCTCAAGCCTCTTGTAGGCTTAAAGTTTTCGATAATGAGGACCTATCCGCTATGCGCTTGGAGCCTGCTCGTGAAAACAAGAGACTAAAACACCAGAAGTATTTACCTTTGATGATACTCAGTTACGATAAACTCATCAGCTCGATGGAAGACCTACCTAATATCTTCAGTCATAAGACGAGCCGCTATTTCAAAAGAATCTCTAATTTCCACGCTTCAAAAACATGGTAAACAAACTCATCTCAAGCAATATGCATGCGTTAAACGACGTTACATCCGGAAAACACGCGAATGCAGGACAACGTAGACAAAATCCATCGCTAGGGGCTCAGAATATGAAGCGTTCCTGTTTCCATAAGAGTGTTTATACCTAAGTTCGTTTATATTTAGGTGGAGTACGTGAGTTTCTTTGTGAACAGCTATTGATGAGTATGATGACTATCATGTGATTTGATTGTCATTTTTTCAATATTCCATGCTGTTCACATTCCGTATACTAAACGGCAGGCCTTAGCACTTATGATAACACACAAAATCATTATAATATCGTATCAAAAGGTTAGCTTGAGGACTGACTTCCTGTCACATTTTGAGACAGTAGGTATACTATACCCATAGATCAGAATTCAGACTTCAGAGCTCAATGAAGTTGAAAAAAGATAATTAGCACAACCAATTTTTTATAGCGTTTTGCTTTTTCATGATGTAGCGGTGACTTATTTCTATGTCTTTTAGCCTCGAAATACAGATTTATTCATTTAGGTATGTAAGCTGAGATAAAAAACCAGTGCCAGTACCTACTGCACAGTGCACATGCCTCCCTACGACTGCCTACCCCCTCAAAAAAAAAACTGGGCAGAGAAACTTCAACTCAGAGGTCTGAGTCAAGCGGAGCCGGGAGCCCATTCTGCCTGGAGGAGTGGCGGCTGCTGACTCACGGACACATCCTGGCCAGCTCGCGCCGGGAGGCAGCGAAGCCCAGGTCTCTGTTGTCTGTGAGCACTCGCAGTGGAGAGGTGCACCGGTGCATGGTCTCGCGGTCACAGGCCGTGTCACCGGCAGCCACAGCCCCTGTCAACACATCACCGGCACACATTACGCTAGCTAAAGCAAACTGCCGAAAGTTTAACTCATTAGGCACACCATTGAAAACACGCGAAACTTCACGCGTGTTATGTATTTCCATGATATCAAAGGCAAGATCAAACCACTTCAAACCTGCTGCAAAACATTCAAAACAAATCTTTAAAAGCATATTCATATGTGCCCTATTCATATAGTTCCTAAGGCGTATGGTTCTTACGCTATTAACGATAAACCTTGCGATTCCGGTGCCGCTAATATAGTCCAATTTTACCCTGACATTGTACCGGTTTTGCTGACCTGCCCGACCTGGTGATCTGACCTGAAATGACAGAGAACTACAATTTTCAGGGAGCGTGCCAAAAGGCTGCCCCAGAAATTATGCCAAATTTGCTGGGCCTACGCGCCGTCATTTTTACGTTATTTGCGAAAAAACTTAGGGGGTTGCATCAACCCGGCGAGGGTTAAAACGAACAGAACAGCTACGTATTTGAACGCATTTAGTGCATCAGCAAACAGTTTCCATTTCGGCTTCCCTGGAATGTACAATACACATTACGGTGCAATGTAAAAGGAGTCGCACAGAGTATACCAAAAATGTTTGAACGAAATCACTAGAAAAAAAAAAATAACCACAAGAGAATGTGTGCCTCGCAGTGCGTTAGATCTGAGAAAAGGCAACAGTTTCCACCACTAGCGCAGGTCTAGTTGATCGCTCTCCCTACGGCATGGACTGTCGCCCGTTCCGTTCGCCTCCGCCACCTCCGTCCGTCAGTCTGCCGCCCTCGACGGCGGCATCTGCTGTCTGCTGATTCGACGGCCGTGGCCCACGACAGCCGGTGATCGGCCCGGCCCGGAGCGTCATCTCTCGGCGCCCGCCGCTGTCACCATTGTGTGCGCAGTGCGCAGTCTGCCGGCGCCGCTCTACATATAAGGGCCGAGCCGGCGACCACGGCGGCACCGATCGGCACGCTGTCCATCATCGCGCCATTGTCTCTGCGTAACGTCCAACGGCAGCTCATCGCCAAACATGATATGCGTCTGTGTGACGCGACTATTTAGCATATATCAAAACTAGTCCTGTTTTTTTTTCTGGTCATTTTAGATAACGTCTTGGCGTGTTTTTTTTTTAAGCTCATTGTCCGAAATGTCATATTTTCGTTGAAATACTCAGGGCGGCACCACGAGTTCTTGATTGGGGGTGGGGACGAATTGGCCGAATGAACCCCCCTCCCCCCGCAAAGCAGGTATTTGCTACTCGTGTTTAAAAAACCGTCGCGTAGCTCCGCAGGGTTTGGCACACCCCAAAACACATCAAATGTTACATACAATCCGTTTCCAAACTTTGATCCAGGACACTTAAGGCAAGGTCACCTGGCCAAGTAACCTCGCCTCTCGAATAAACATTTGCAGTCCTGTCAACCCTAAAGCTTATCTCCTACAAGATGTGTATCGCTCAGGTAAAAGTATCAGTGCTGCGCGCGCCATTCGTATGTTTCGTACTTATAAAACCTGCGACATTATGTCAGGTTAGATTCATGGCTTCGCCATCATAAACTAGCCATTGGAGGAAAAGCCCGAATGCCTCCTGCTTTGAACAAATGCGGCAAGGTGCAGATGACCCCAAAATGATTTCAGAATCATGACATTGCCACAACTGACCCATGCAACGGGCAAGGTGCAGTTGATGGCCAATGGTCACTAAAAAGGTCATGCTAGGTCATGAAAGGTCATCAGCAGTTATTCGATCATTTTTTTTAACATATGAATACATTATACCGATGAAATTGCCTTAGGTGAGTTCAGCTGTACAAACCAGCGACCTTTCTTATAGGCGAACCCACAAAGGATACTGGGGGGAGTACCCCCAACAAAATTCTACAAATTCCGAAAACGCCTCGGATTTCGATTCCCTATGCACTGCTGTGCAGTTTCAAGCAAACGTTACTAATAAAAGTTGTTTAATTTTCATTTTAGTCCAGAAAAACGCCACATTTACATCGATTTCGGGCACTATGAGTGAGCAGTTGTCATTCCCCCTGGATCCGCCACCGATCTCTCTGATAGTAAAATCGGCTTTTAGGTAGAAAACTACATATGCGTTGTTAAAAGTATTGGTTAAAAGCTATCGATCATTTTTCTCTATGCCTTTCCATCTCTCTTCGCCGTCAAGATTGTCGGATGTGTTCATTTACGCCTTCACCATGACGAAGTTGTGTCAGTCAGCTTCGTCAGTCAGCTCGGCCAGGGATTGAGAAACTCACCTGCCCTTGATCTTCCCGTTAGTTACATCCGCCTTACGCGAAGACTTCGGTCGCGCCATGCACGAAAACATCGCAGTGCAGGAGCCAAAATAAAAATGCGATTCTCTTACCAAAATGTGTCACAAATGTTATCATGCTGCATGCGTCAGTACTGCGTACTCCTCGGTGTTAAAATTTTCTGTATCACGGTCTTTTCTATTATGCACTTGAATAAAACGAAAATACGACCAAGAGCCCCACCCAAAAACCCACTACAGGGTGGATAATCCCCCACTCCGTGAACTGAGAGGGGACGACGAGGTTCCCTCTGTCCCTTCCTGTGGCACCGCCCATGGAAATACTTGTACCTTTAGTGTCGGTAGACTACATGTTAGGTTGCTTCTTTTTATCTTTCTCAGTTGTGGGCTACCCAAGGATTACAAAAAGGAAAAAGCCGTTTGCATCTGACTGCTTTCGCCATATAGACCTTATACATATAGGACACATGCAGGAGCTATGGGCCTCTGAGCCACTGAAAACCCACGCCGACTATTATAAGCACATTCACCGGTGAAACGCTTTTTTAGCGTCGGTGGTTACCTATCAAAGGCCCATCCCTAACGAGATACAGACCTGTTTGTTCTCAGATACCCCAAACCTCCCAAAGCTCCAAAAGCCCTAGGTACAGCCTTGGTGCATAACATTGACCTATCGTCCAGCGCAGACGTTCTGAATAGCGAAACGTCTCCTGCATGTGCGCACGTGCACTGCGCGGTGTGCAGTGACACCCTAACCGTGTCACATAAGAATGCATCCCTCGCTGGGGTCTCGCCCATTCCGAGTTTTCTTAGCTCTGCAAAGACGAGTTTCATGCTTCCGCTCGTTCCTTATAGTGAGTGCTCTTAACCAGGAGCCTGCCACTAATAGGGTTAACAGTGAGATTAGATACGTGTTGAATGTTGCTCATGGTACTTTATGTATAACTATATGAAACAGAGCATGGTTGCATAATGTATTTTTGCCCAGCATCGCCACTTGATAAGAGGAGCTATATCTGGGAAGGCGAACACAATGATGCTGGATTGATTGGCCGACAAAGACCTCTTGCGCTGGCTCAGTGTCCCGTGACGTATGTCTTGCTATGATGATGTATCAGGTAATGTATCTGAACAGTCAATGGGACGGGCGGCGGGCACTCACCATTAACCATAGCGAGGGGCGCGTGCTATTAGGCGGCGGGCGAACAGTCTCGTGCCATGGTAGCTAAGGAGACAACCGCGGCAACACTCGTCTAGTCAAGTGATAAAAGGTTCTGTTAGTCAAACCACACACGATACAATTAGCCCGCGCCGTACTGGTGGCCTGAACTTCCCGCCGAGTACTGGGGCGGGGGGCGTTTCACGTCCCCCATCTAACTCGGCTTCTGGGCCATGGGCCATGTAGCGACACGTGGTAAGGGACAATCGAAAGAGCGTCAAAAATAAGGAAGAACACACTTCAGTCATTTTTATGGTCCGGTCAAAGGTCAGGTCAACAGAGGTCATTAAAGGTCAAATTTAGTCCATTTCAATAATTTTGGAAACTGCCCACAGCTAACTCGGGAACCAATAGAGCTACAGCGCTGCGGAAAAGCGCATTCGATAGCCCTTTTACAGACCTTTATGAGTGTTGTCCTCAGATTTGACCTCAGGTCAACCGTTTAGCCTCCAGAGGGCAAAAACTCTAAAAAGCCGTTATAACGAAAAAGGTTTTTCGGCGATAACTTTTGATTCAAGAGAGCCACGACATTACTTTTGGTAGCATCGTGTTCCTCTCGTCGAGACGCGTCGAATGACCTATTTATTGACCTTCAAAAGTCATTTTGAAAAATTTACCTCCGGTCAAGGTCATGACTTGACCGGAGAGGGTCATGTTGCAATCAGTCGATCCGTATCGCTGAGCTGAACACATCTGACGTGTTTTCACCGCTCTAGCACGTCTCTATCAAAAGTCATGGCCAAAAAAAATTGTTGGTGACCGTTCATGACCTGAGATGACATGGGGGGGGGGGAGGGGCATACAGAGGGGTCACCTGTGCATTTTTCCGATTCAGTGTGTCATGTTTACCTATGAACCGATGTTTGAGAACGTTTTGAACGACATTCGTCCAAAAGAGGTGCATTTTAATTGTATCTTATTGACTTATAATGGAGAGAAGAGGTCGTAAAATTCACTTGATCTTAGGTCACATATATCGAAAATCCGAGATAAAAATTTAATGCAAACTGTTACTGATATCAATTGCTAAAAGTCTCAAAGCGATTGCACGGTCGGTGTAGCTATAGCGAGCCTTAGAAATTTTCTGAGGTAAGATCACTTGACGTGACCTTGTGACCTGACCTTGAACGACCCGGGTCTGAAAATTTCACAACATGTGCGGAAATGATGTATGAACAGATGTGAACGCCGCCGTTTTTAAGATATTCGCAAAAAAACCTGAGGGCCCCCCCCCCAGCACGGCGCGGGTTTTAAGCATCTTTTTTGTTTTGTCAGAATGGGTGCCGACGGTCAAATGAGATGGCGAACACCGAGAGCCCACCTGAGTAAGCTACAGTCATCAAAGCCATTAATATGCCGGTGACTAATCAGAGATCATTGATCAGTAGGTATGCTTTGATCAGCGTTCACTGCCGTATTTGTATTTGAATAGGCTCTCGCATGCTGACTGCGGATTTCCTGACTGCGGAAAGAGTCTGTTTCAGGCATTAGAAACGGCGTCGCGAAATTCGACGGCAAAGTCACACGTAGCTAGAAATTAAGTAATACACAGCATGCTGAGCTCATGATGACTTTTCGCCCAGAAACATCAACAACCTCAGATTACACAGCCATCATCCAATTCGGTGAAGGCTATCAGAACGATGGCAGAGTAGCCGGTGAGATCCGATGATTGCCAAATAGCGATGGGAAGCAGCTGCTTGATGGCACAACATGTGAAGGGAAATATAGTGGTTGATATAAAATGCACTCGGACGATTTTCTGTTGGTATTTAGAGGTTAGATTGTGATCAAAACCTGATGGACCTACATCTCACTAATGGAATGTGTCAGGCTTCAGCATATTTGCTGAGTTGTGGCGGGTCCATTGTCATAAAAGGTAAATCGGAGATTCTAAAAGAGCATATCTCCTTACGCTATTGCAAAAGTAATTCAAAATGCACCAGAAGGGCACCATCTTTTGGACAAGCTTAAACACATCCCCAAGTCATGCTAGACGTAACACTCATATCACAGACGCCGCTTGGTGAGATTTAGCGACGAAAAATCGGTAACAGGTTAAAAATTCATAGAACGGTTTGAAATATGTCAGATGCATTAATCAATATTCCTGTTAAAACCAGCACTATTCAGGCATTTAATTTATCAGCAGTTACAACGTATCGGGACGAATGACTACCTCCCACACTGATCCATTGAAAGGTCACATACATCTGACAATTTAATATTTTTCATCATATGCCTAATATATTTTTACCGATGATTAGTTCGTTTTACTCAAAATCCAACTTTCAGCTTTAAGTGGAGAGTCTACGATGGCGTCCTATATAAGGCATGAGCTAGAATACTCGTATATCTATGTTTCTGTTTGTATACACCAAGCATATCTATACATGGGAAAACCCTATATAACTGAACGGCCTCTCTGCCTGCTATCTTGGCGGCTGTGACACCTGAATCGGCAGCCTATATGTCACCGCGCGTCGGACTATCAGTGCGCAGCAGACCCGTTCTGGGGACGGCGCTCCGCCCCTGCCCTCCCAATTCTTGGGACGCCGCTCCGCCGCAGACTCTCCCTTCTATGTACATATAGGACGGCGTCGAATGATAAATGAATGCGTTAGTGTTAACTTATTCGCCAGCACCAGCGGGAAAGGCCATAGGTAAAATCTTTAGTTTTCATTTCATATGCAAATTTTACCGAAGATATGTCCGAAAGTTTCAAATAAGATGACCTACACTGACACTCACCATTAGCTGTTAGGTGCCATGCAGAATACCTGCTCATGGAAGTTGGAGTGCAGTTGAGGCTACCTTGTTGATCAACTTGTTGAGCTTTTAAGGCCCTCGTAAAAATTTCGAAGAGGAACCAACAAGGTCATAAGAAAGGTATGATATTGGGTTTACGATGATATGCGCATTGAACAACTGTTATCTTGATTCTCTGTTGCAAACAACAATATTCACTTCTATATTAACCCGCGCGGGGCTGGGGTCTCCAGCCGAACGCGCGGGGCTGGGGGGGGGGGTAAATTTTACCCCCCCCCCCTGTTATCTCCCGAACTAATGGTCCGATTTGGAAAATTCAAACGCCAATCGAAAGCTCTCATCCCGAAATACTAAAAACATGTACTTAATTTAAAGTTTGAGGTCAAGGTCAAGGTCAGATCAAGGGTAAAAATTGCAAGTTTCTACAGTATCGGCCTTGCACCGTAGTTGCCGAAGAATGGAGTCATGGACTGAGACTGATCGCCCAAAACGTGTTATTAGGCTACCAAGACAATATTCGTTGCATACAATATCATTCAGAGGTCAAGGTCAAGGTCAGGTCAGGTCAGGTCAGGTCACCAAAAAACAAAATATAGAAAAGGGCATGTGCGACACATGTTTTATGGGTCATTTTACTCATAGAATTCAATAGGCACACTCAATAAGTGATATGGACCACCTCTGGATGAATTTCAGGTCGCGGTCAGGTCAAGGTCAGGTCAAGTGAGGTCAAATTTTGAAGTTGGTTGTTAAGGCCAAAAAGGTGACTATCTGATGCAGTTTTTCACGGCGAATCGAATGGTGCTATTTTTGTTTCCGTACGAGGTCTAGAACTTCCAAAAAAGTGATTTTTCAAAAAAATTGTGTGTCGTGACGTCATAAAATTTTGAATAACTCCCACATTTTTGAACCGATTCTTCTAAAATTTGGTATGTAGGTGCACGTAGACCACTTCTCTGACATATATTCCGGTTCTTTCGATAGACTCAAAATTTTGGATTTTATAATGATTTTTCCAAAAAAGTCAGTTTTTTGAAAAAAAATTTAGGCCAAAATCCAGAATTTTCAAACAACCGAGATAGCCATTTGATAGACAAAGTAAAATTACGTATAACCTTTTTTGTTACGTCTTGATTCCTTTAAAAATGAAGATGTTAGCGGCGTTTGAACTTTTGCCGTTTTTGAGGCGAAAATGGCGAACATGACGTCACTAAAACGTCAATTTCTCAAAAAATTTTCCGACGGATTTCGCTCAAATTTTCAGGGAACGTGTCAAATTGATGTAAGAAAAGGTACTGAAAGTTTGGCGGCGCTGCGCGCCGCCGTTTTTGAGATATCGCAAAACATCGCGAGGGGGGGGGGGTAAAATTTACCCCCCCCCCCCCCAGCCCCGCGCGGGTTAAACCACGAGCAGGAGCAAAAATATGTTAAAGGTAGTGTGCCAGCTTTCCTGGACCATATGGAGTTAATGACCCGGATAAGGAGAACCGGATTTTTAGAGCTTATCCATACCTTCAAAACTCATGGAAACGTCTTAAATTCTTCAAATTTTGAGTACCCCAGTGCGAAATTCGCCCCGATGGGTTGTCGGTCGTACCCCAACCACATTTCACACCACTATGAACAATAAATGCACACACAAAAATCGCTATTACCGATAGGCTCATCCAATCAAGTTTCGATAAACACGTTCATCATCATCTCCTGCGGTTTCGAACACGCCTGTTAGGTGGCTTCTGCTCATACTTTGTGGTGCGGTGGTGGTGCGTCGGGCCGCGCGCTCTGACTTCGGCCAAGAAAAATGCGTCAGCTGATCATTGTCATTTCTGCCACTTTCGTGTGGTGAGATGGGGTCATAACTTAAGAGACGGCTGTTTCATATCAATTATTTTACATAAAATCATATTTCAAACCACAAATTAATGTTCGACAGCCAAATTAAAGAAACAGCACCAATACAGGCTTACAGTTTAAGTTCGACATTGTGTTGTCTACGATTAGCCAGCTGATAACTCATTCCCGTTCGTCGTAACTCTATAATGACCTTTGCTTATTGTCACATGTGCGCCGCATTCACGATTGTTGCCGACGCCTGTTTGCAAGTCAGCCCACTACAGTTGTTATACATATCGAAAAGCCGATAAACTTTTAAGCGAAAAAAGCACTATTCCAGGCCCATTTTTGATTTTTTTTGCGATATAATAGGTAAAAACAGAAGCTACTTATCATAGGAAAAATAAAATGGGAAATCATTGGAAGGTGGCACAATACTTTTAATCGTCAAGCTAAATTGAAAGATGTCAGACACGTCAACTAATGAAGAATGCCACTTTTCTAGCATTTCGGGCGCCTTTAGCTCGTAACATATTGCTGGAACACTTGATGTTTAGCATTTGACGATAGGTATTTTCTAATAAAGTAACTCCGGGAAGAAAGGCTAGAGTACTTCCTAGGATCGGCAATCGACAGTTCACAAGCTACGAGCACTTCCACGGCCGATAATACATGGAAGAGGCTTAGCCAGCCTCTCATCTCGGCATTATTCTCTCGGGTGGAAAATGCTGCCGACTTTCTCGGCCGCCGCGGCCGGCGCCGGACCACGTAATTCTCCCATACGGCACATCCTTCAGCGCCCATCCAGTCGTGAAATGGGACTGGGGTGGCGGCGATTCGGCGCGGGCGCGCCGCTCTGCAGTCACGGCCAACTGACGCGTCCCACATCCCACGGCAGTGGAGCGGCGCAGCGGGCCGGCGCGGCCGCCGTGTCGCGCTGGCCACCTGTCGCTACTGGGACACGCGCCGGCCGAGAGTGCTACCTTCTGAGTGGGGCGTCACTTGGCCGGGCTGGACCGGGGCGGGACGGGACGAGATGGGACGGGACGCGACGCCGTGCTGGGTTGTGGGAGACGAAGAGGGAGGTGTTTACGGGGGAGTTTCTGAACTCTGGTCGTCAGTCTATGCATCTCGAGCAGTCACCGGTCCCGGACAGAGTATAACCAGGCCGTGTTGCGCCGTCAACCTCAGCCTGATGGTCATGATATACTCCTGACAGTCGTGACGATCTCCTCGGCACGGACACTACAGTTTCAGCCTGACAGTCTGCGGGGCCCCGTCCTGACAGTTCCAGTCTGAAAGTGCGAAAGTCTGTGCGGACCAGTCCTTTCAGTTTCAGACCGACGGTCTCCGCAGTCCTACTCTGCCATTTTATCACTCCGCAATGTCTGTGACGTCATCGGAGCTGACGGAGCCGGTTGGCTCCGTGTGTTACATCGGACCGCGGAGTGGCGATATCATCCTGTCAGAGCGCGACGGGAGCTACTTGTCAGACGCCTAATTTTGTACTCCAGTCGATAGCTAGTTAAATAAATAATTAAATACTTATCCTTAAATAAATAAACATAAAAGGATGAATATTCGTTGCCCTGGCAGTCTTTACTAACACGCTGTTGTAGCAGGCGAGTGCCAGTGGACTGTCGAATGTAGAGGGCGGGACACCGGTCATTGCGCTCACCTGTACTACACAGGAAGATAGCCAGCATAGTGGCGGCGGCGGCGGCGGCGGCGGGCACATCGGACGGCCGAGCCATGCTGCACCGTCGCTAGGACCCTCCTGAAAAGAGCCGCCGCTCATCAATGCTAATGTATGGATAGGGCGGACGACACAGCGATCCTACACCGGTGAGAAACCAGTCCCAAGAGGGGTGGGCGACCGAGAGCCTGATAGAGTTATTATGGTCCTGGAATTAACACTTCAAGGCTCTTGAGATACCTGCCTCGTTGTAGCAGCGCTTAAATCTACATATGTAGGGTAGACCGGGGCAAGTCGCCCCGCCGAGGTAAAACGCCTCACCGATGTTTCTCAGAACTGGCAGGGTTCTAGGGAAACATCATCTCTTCTATAAAACGTGCACTATATGATCATTATATGAGCAGACTGGAAAGAAATTTTGATGACTCTTTCGGGAGATATAGCCAAAAATGTGTTTTTTGAGTGATTTTTATGTTTTGTTGTCAGATTATGTATCATGGCGTTCTTTTATGGTCCACATTAGGTTAACGACTTTTATGTATTTTGAATAACTATTGTCTAACGCTTATCATGCCGGGTTGGTTCGTGTTAAATTATGTCTTGCTGGAGTGCAAGGCCTTGTTCTCTGACCGAACTACGTGATGGGGTAAAACGCCCCAGTAGGTCGCGGGGCAAAAAGCCTCTGGGGCGTTTTACCTCATGTGTTGTTCGGGCTACCCACTTTCTAATGTTCGGTAGCTGGCGAACAGTAAGTTTCTATGCCTTTATGTGTATTTTTCTCAGCAACTGGATGGCAAAGGAAGTATTTTGTTTACATTTGCATTGCAATAATTTATTATTTGGTCTTATGAGGTAGGTGAAAAACCTGCTCATACAATAGTGTCATAGCTGAGCACCTGACAGGATGGAATGTGCTAACTTCAGTGCCGTGCCTCCAGAGGTCTAACGGACCTCCCACATAAGATTTAGCCAACTACCATGTTAAATCTTTAATCTAAAGTATGGGGCTACTTGCCCCAGGCCGTGGGGCGTTTTGCCCTGGGGTTGGGGCAAAATGCCCCATTTGCGGTTGCTTCACAAATCACTTCCTAGCTTGGAGTCCGATCATAAGTGGATCAATTTGAGGGGTGCAATTTGAAGTAAAGTGTCCAAAGAACGCATTGAGCACAAATTTAGCCTTCCAGGTGATGTGGGACACAATTTATGTAGCAAAATAAATTATCTGGGGCGTCTTGCCCCAGGCTACCCTAAGTGTGCGTGCTGTGCCTTTGTTGAATCAATCTACTTATCCTATTCATCTCTCTCTCTCTCACTCGCTCTTACTCTTTCTCGCTCTGTCTTCCTCTTTCTTTAAATGTTTGCCTACATAGTTTCATTAACAAATATTATTTGCCAGTCAAACAGTATTGGTAAAAAGCAAAATGTGGCATTTATCGCATCATCGTCTGTTTGTCTTTGGGTCAACGGAGTCCAAGCTTAGATAAACTAAATAAAAATGGGACTTAAATTAACCGCAATATCGGTAAATGCCAGGCAAGTATCGGGCAAACTAGGTCCTGACAAGGATAGTTGCCGTATCATGTATGTAATTGGAAGGGGATCTGAAATTCGACGAGTATCTCTGTATTAGCTTAGATCAGGCTTGTCTTGCAATTGCTCGAATCCTATAGACATATCAATATGGGTAAAAAACGCATGGATAATTTTCAGTTGATAGGATTTAGAAGGCCCACACCGTCAACTCAAAAGACGTTTGATATAATAGTTAACTTGACTTGACTTTTCAAAGCAAACTGAAAAGTCATGGTTGAATGCTTTGCTAATTGCTATACATAAATGATGATTGATTTGATGATGTTTACAACGCACGTAGTCACCGACAAGAGAAAACGCGTTCACATCACAGAGGCAGGTCAGCATATTGATCGGTTGTATCTTCGTGCTATGATCGAACGAGACTGCAATCCCACTCCACCGAATAATTAGTCAGGCGTGCTTTCTGAGCAGCTTGTAGTTCCTCATCTCGAGTACCGTGCCACTGCCGATGTGTCACAGCGCGCCACTCGCTCGTCATCAAACCCTATGCTGCTAAATTTGCCGGCGCGCGGCGGAGGCCGCTGTTACTCGCTGAAATGCATGACGAGGTAATTTGATAAAGCTCTTAGCGCGTCATGCCTACCACACCAGTGGAAATCGATAAGCTCGTTAGGATAAAAATAGACATTCCACAGCACGACTATCCCATCCATTATCGTTTAAGGTCACGGTGGCTGGTAACAAGAGGCTCAGAGAATTGCAGTGCAATAGGCAGCCGCCTGGCTGGACACCCGTACTGCACAGTGCACGCCGGTGACAGTATCGGTGAAACCGGGCCATGTCCTGGAAATGTCACCTGGCTTTGTTTGCCCATAGCCACCGACTAATTTAGCGGCTAAACTGGACGCCGGCGCGGGCAGCACTGAGCACATCCTGGCACGCTGGACTGTGGACACTGACAGGTGTGAGCGGCAGGGGGGCGGGGATGACCGCCGGTCGCGGGGTCACAGGGGTGACAGGTCACCACGGCCGCACCATTCCATCTATAGCCGCCACAAGGACACAAAGTGCCCGGATGTCGCCCGGATGAGCGCAAAACTCGCCTCTGGGTCGACAGCAAAACAAATTTGATTACATCGTACCAGCAACCCTGCGGGTGCCTTCTAATCTCAGGTTTGATGCGCCTGCAATGTCCGTAAGCGTAGCTCAGGTTTGCTAAAAAAAACAACAAGTATTTTGTGAGAATGCAGGCAAGAGAGAGTTATGGAGTGGAACTTCTCTCGTTTCGCTGCGCTGGGGTAGAGACACCATCACCCGAATGGCGTCTCGGCAGCGGGATCAGGTGGCCAAGTTGTAATAATTACGCACGCTTATTTCATTTCCGCCGAGTTCGGTCTCAGAAAGTTTATTGTCGGGCGACTCAGTTCTGCTGACGGGACCGGGGTGCCACTACTGCTACTCAGGATGGTCGCCAGTCGACATGCAAGTCCAACCCCTCAATCCAGCGCCAACCCCGGAATGCGTCGTTGGAGTCCATCAACTCAATTATTATTCCAATCAATTGACTATATGGCATAAACTGAGGATTGTGTAGTAACATTTTCATTAAAAATGGATTTTACATTTCCTTTAACCTTTTATTAATAAAACAGCGCTTGCTTGTGACACTTAGTTCATGAAAGTACCCGAACAAAAATGCATACAAATTCCGTTTAATGGCAACCCACCTTCATAGCTGCAAAACACACGTAACTAAGGATCTCCTCTGGACTCTGGTCCTCCGTTTTTCATGCATCGTAAGACATGCATAGTATGTGTGGGTTTAGTTCCACTCACTAAACTAGTCCATTTGGAATTCGTTCCTGAAAAGACTGGCCTTTGGATCAATGGTCGCCGAAGTCGACCCGAATTAGCTGCAGTGTAATTCATCGATTCCGTACGCCTAAAGTGGCGACAAGCTATCACTTTGAGCAAGGTGACCGTGTCTCGGATTTCCGAGTCTTTGACTTTCGAGTCTTTTGGCCCTGTCTCTATGTTTCCCGATCTTCAGTTCCCGGTCTCAAAGTTACAGCGTCCGATTCCCTTGTCTTTGAACGTGACGTGGTTTCCCCTGTTTCTTTTGTGACTGGGCCTCTAATCACTGTGTCTCCGGCACTATATCCGTACCTCTGGTAACCGAGTAGCGTCCTAGTCCCCTCTCTCTCCCCCTCCCGCCTCTCCCCGCGGAGCTGTCACAGCCTGCATACCAATGCAGCGGCACGTCGGCACCCGCCCACGTCGGCCGGTTCAGCTCAGCCGACAGCCGCCAAACGACCTGATGGCTTTTCAGTGTAGGCCGGCACTGGAGCCAAACTGGGCTGCCCGATTGGCGCCTTTACTGTCCAGTCTACCGGACTGACCGAATATTGACAAACGCTCCGCCCGGGAAATCCATAATGGCTGGTAGCTGCCGCGACGCATCACACCACGTGTGGGATTAATTTGATAGCTGTTCGGTGACAGCGGGTCCGATATCGGCCGCTCCTGTTGACCCGTGGGACGACGGTCAGAACGGACGCGACCCACGGGATCGTTCTGAGTTCCGAGTATCTGGAGCCTGCCTCTCTGTTTCCCGGTCTCCATTTCTTATCTCCCAGTCACCGCTCCCGTCTCTCTAAGGATGACGTGGTTTCCCGTATACCATTACACAATTACATATTGTTACTACGCCTCTAATCACTCTGCATCCGGTCCCCATCGCTGGCTATACGCACGGGCATCATCCTAGACATCAGCGCTGACCGTGATTACGAGTACAGTCTGTTCCGTCCGACACACTGTCTGACGGTCACAACTGCAGTACTGGTGCCGGGTGTGCGCGCCGATTTTCTCAGACTGATCGATCGAGACCGACGTGAAAGCAGAACTCCGCTCCTTGATGTAGCGGAGCGAACACTCGGAGCAGTGGGTATGAGAGCCGAACGAACGCACAGATACTGTACGCCAGCCCTGTTTACTCTTTGGACTGAGCTCTACAGTGCCTAAACTGAAAAAGCATGAAAAGCTCATTGCTTTGAATGGGTTGCCTTAACCTTCACTCCAGTGGGGGGGGGGGGGGCATATGTTACCACCCTGTCGCGTTTTTTTTTGCGTGTGAATAAAAAGCTGCGGCGCTAGCGCCGCGCCGCTTGGGATAGCTTTCTGTACATCAATTTTGGACAAGTTGTGAAATTTTTGACCCCAGGTCATGTCAGGTCAGGTCACCAGGTCAAGTTAACTGACCAAGCCTAAAAAAGTTTGCAATCATGTCCAGCCTGCAGTGTTTGTAAGAGAGGTTTTAAACTTGGTGGATTGCATGATGTTATGGGCACCTATAATTTGTATATCTCGGATTTTTTTATATCCGTGACCTAAGGTCAGGACAGTGGCGTGACCTTTCCATTATAAGTCAATGGAGAAAAATGAAAATGTCTCTAAATCCGTGTGTACGCAAGGCACAGTCCAAATATTTCAGAATCACAATGATTTGAACCACCCGTGACGATCAAGGTGTCTTTTTTGATGAT